ACTTATCTAAATTGATATATAACAAAGTGTGGCAAATTGTAGCTTGGAACCCAACAACCCTGAAGTTTGAGCTTGGAGCATAAAAATCCATGTCTTTAAAATTTGTACTTTTCTATCCCTTTTTGCTTTTAATCGTGTTTAGCTTGTCAGACTTTATCATCAATTTTACTTTCAAAATAATTGTTATCGACCGACCGACTAATAGGTGTGCTCCGCTCGACTACCACAAGCGTCTGCCACGTGCCATTATGGTGGTGAAAGATAAAGAAATTCATTGGAAAGATAAAGAAATCCATTGATATTTTCTAAGACTCTTATCAAGTTGCCTTTGTCCTTATAATTTTCATTTGTTCCCCTCTGCTCAGACAAGTACCTTTGGCTCTCGGGTGTAGGTGCACCCTATATGGAAAAAATAATAATTTTGAAAAATTCAAAAAATTATCAAAATTCTTGGGAAACAAACTTAACCTTCAGTTGTATTTGTCTATATAATAAAAATTGCCAAGGAATGACTTTCATGCTATTTTGGGTGGAAAAAGTCAACACTATATACCTAATTTGGAGATTCTCACATGTTTCATTCAGGCAAAGCAGAATAACATTTCTGAATCCTCAATTTTAACTGTAATTTCCCTTTTTTATCTTCCCAAAACCAAAAGGCAGACATTTGTTAAGAAGAAAATGCAAGACATCCAGGATTTTTCTCCCTGGTGAGAGAAGCACTTCAGAACTAGTTCATTTTCCACCTAATTTTGCTATTCGACATGTTCTGCTCTTATCCAGTTTTCCGTTAAGTTACAAACACAGCTTTCTGAATTTCTCAGAACACCGAGTAGAAACGAACATCTTGGATTTTTCAATAGAAAATGTGGCCAATTGAATCGCATGTTTTAGTCAGGCGAAGCCAGAGATCATCCCCATTTCCATTAACGAAACATCAATTCTTCAGCAGTGCGCAGGAATCGATACGACACACACACACACACACTCTAGCAGATGAGATCAAAAGACACACGCTCCGTTACTCATAACAGGAAACTCATACCTAGCTTTTGGGACGTTTTTATCCCTGATTTTATTTCTCACCTTCATGTAAATGATCTGTCTATTATATGAGAAATAAAGTAGCAAAACAATAAAATCCAAAAAAACACTTACTAAGCAAAATAAAAGAAAATCAATTATTTTTTGGCAATGTGGCCTCCGTCCTAGCCTAGTCTATATGAAAGAAAAATACAAACATGAGTGCTGCAAATAACTTTTCTGAGCCCAAAATCTTTATGATACAGACCATCATGAATGTCTTTTCTTGGCAAATTTTTCCAAGCAGTTAGAGCATATGCCGATGTTCATTAAAAAACTATCATTTGTTTAACTTTTATTTGGATTTTGTTGTTCATGCCTGTTTGGATTTTGAATATCTTTGCCACATATTGCCATAGTATTTTGCCATATTTGCCTTACTCGAGGTGCTCAAATTCTTAGCCACATTTTGACTTGCCTTAGGAAATTTTTCTATATTTTTTGTATCTATGACATGTGGGACTTACTGCTAATAAAAAAAATTGTCTTAGTTGTGGCAAAGAACTATACACATATCTAACTTGGTCAAACTTATCTAAGTTGATATGTGACAAAGTGTGGCAAATTGTAGTTTGGAACCAAACAACCCCGAAGTTTGAGCTAGGGAGCATAAAACTCCATATCTTTAAAATTTGTAATTTTCTATCCCTTTACTTTTAATCGTGTTTGGCGTTTCGGGTTTTATCATCAATTTTACTTCCAAAAAATTGTTATTGATCGACTAGCAGGTGCGCTCCACTCAACTACCACAAGCGTCTGCCACGTGTCCTTATGGTTGTGAAAGATAAATAAATCCATTGATATTTTCTAAGTCTCTCACCAAGCTGTCGTTGTCCTTATAATTTTCATTTGTTCCCCTCTGCTCGGACAAGTATCTTTGGCTCTCAGGGCTACGTGCACACTATATGGGAAAAATAATAATTTTGAAAAATTCAAAAAAATATCCAAATTCCTGGGAAACAAACTTAACCTTCAGTTTGTATTTGTATATATAATAAAAATTGCCAAGGAATGACTTTAATGCTATTTTGGATGGAAAAAGTCAATACTATATAGTACAAGTTACTATTCATGCTTTTTGTCCTTAAAATTTTGTCTTTTTGCTCTGAAGTCGACCGGAGTTTTTTCTTAACAAAACTTTTTATATGAGTACAATTGAAGGTAAAGTTTGTTTTCAAAAAATTTAGAATTTTTCACTTTTTTGGAGAAAAAAATTCCCATGTAGGTTGCATTTACACCCTGAGAGTCAAAGAGTATTTCTCTAGGTTGAAGATACTATTTTTAGAATTAAAGAGTTTATGCGCGCGTAAGAGCTAGCTTTTGCTAGAGTAGTCCAAGATGATGGTGATTGATGGCTTTTTTCATCTCTCCCCATAAAGGCAAAGCCTTTTTTAATTAGAGCTTAGGCTCAAACTATGTCACCTTTATTTTCCCTGCTACTAAAAACACAGAAATGATAAAATCCGACCGTTTGGGGTTTGACTGGCAAATCAAACGTTTTCTATGGCAATTTCAGTGGACGTGAGAGTCACAAGTTTAGTTGACAAATACGATAAATTTCTAAAAAATCTAAGGACATGATAATTTTCTAAAAAAACTAAGGACTGATTTGTCATGCTTACCAATTAAGCTTGTCATGGTCAACAAATATAATTTGTCACAAAATCCGTCCGATTTGCCATGGCCAGATCCTGAACGTTCAGAACTTATCGGCGAAATGATCCTTGCGATCTGCTATTCTTTATTGCCGGCGGTTGCTGTTCTGATGTGTTGTTCCTATGAGGTCTTAGCACAAAGACTTCCCGACTATCTACTACAACAAGTTTTGCTCGGCTCCGATAAGGGAGGGGCGGTGACGGCGGCGCGTCTTTGGCTCGCTTCAGTGCTTGTAGTCGTTTCTAGGTGATCTATGAATCTGGTGTATTTTTTTATTATTTCTGATATTTGTTGTACTGACATGATTGAAGATGAATACGTCAGATGATTTCTCGCAAAAAAAGAAGAAGCGCTCCTATCATAGTTTTTAAAAAAATCCACATGTAAAGATTCTCAACCATGACGGTCCACGCGGATTAGGCCGAATAAGGCCCCAATGGGATTTAACCACTGAAAATCTTCAAATGTCTCTGTATGCTTGTGCTATGCATATTTGGG